ATATAAAGACATTTGGTACTCCATGTAAATTTATAACACAAGGTACTATTTTGAAAACCCCTGGTACTATACTGAATGAAAACTGGTACTTTTCTTTTAAAAACAGGTATCGGGGCAGAAATGTAATTTAAACCTTAGAGGGGACCATAAAGTTGTTGACTAGGGAGTTGAATGGAAAAATTTTTCACTAGGGACTGAATGAGAAGATGAATTTAGGATTGGGGATTTATCTATACATCTACAAATTGGAAATTGATTTTTTTGAATTCATTTATGGGTGGTAATTCGAATTCAAATAAATATTCTCATCCAGATTTGAATTGAATATAAAAATAAGTGAGGGCATTTTATTTTCTCTTTGGAGCCAAGGTATCATCAGTCAATTTATATTATCCAACTACAAGCAAATTCGAAATATTCCATTGAAGTTCGCACCTCTCCTCGTTATCCACGGACCAATTGAGTTTTCGGTTTAGTCTCGTTTTTTCCATTTTTTTTGTTTTTTTCATGTGTTGACTGGCTTTCAAATCTATATATATATAATTACTGGCGCATAAGCATTTAATAAAACCTATTAAATTATACCTACATGGCATTTTCCCGCCAAAAACTGTTACTTTTTAATTTTTTTTATTATTTTATTATAAAAACATATTTGATTTGTATTAATGTGTTGCTATGTTAATATTGGTCAAAACCTCATTTACTGTGTAGCCGTTACATTTCTCTTTTTTCCTTATTATCTTTAGTACCTTTGAATTTCGAAAATAATTTTTTTTATTATCAAAAAATTGATTCACTCACAATATTTTATCTATTTATTCTCACTAATTTATGATACTTTGTTTTTTTGTAACTAAAGTTGTTTTTGATTTTAGTAAAAATTTTCGACAATATAGTCCTAACTACATTTAGTAAAATTTATCAATTTTAAGTGGAAACTAGATATTCATACTTCTTTAGCAAGTAGCTTTTGTAAAATCCACGACAAGTAGGTGTATTCGTTTGGAATTTCGAGTGACATTTAAAGGCTATTCGAGATTTGAAATTTTTAAATTAGAGGAATCTTATGAAATTTTAAGTTTGGATGTGAGATTTGTAATGAGTTTTAATATATTTTATTTCTTTAGAAATTTCAACAAATCTTAGAAAGTTTTAACAAATCTTAATCTCAAATAATTAAATACATCGGGATGAATACCAAATGAATATCTCAAGACTTTTGTAAGTCTTGAAGACTCTAAATTAAATTATACCATAATTTTCAAAGTCTTAAAAGTTCTTCAAAACTAGTATTTGATCCTGTGCATTTGCACAGATGTAAATAAAGTATTGTGAGTTATTTGTATGTATATAATAATTAATTATTTTTCTTTCACTTTTTTGCATGCCAAATTTACAAATAAAGAAGTTGGAATATTTACTTTTTTTAAAAAAATTGCGTTTATCTGATTGGATGTAATGTATATTTTGGTACGTTTTTTTTTAATTATTTATCATTTATTTAGGAATTTCAAATACGTTTTAATTTTTTTTTAAAAAAATAATTTAAATGTAACCACAATAATACCATTTAATCACATTGTACGATCAATACATTATATGATCAACTGTCACTAATAAAAAAACTTAAAATAATTTTTGTAATTTTGAAGTGATTAGTATTGATTATTTAATAATTAAATGAAAGATTAAATACACAAAAAAAGTAACGGTTTTTGGAGGGAAAAACATTAAATTGTTACATAGGTAAAATTAATTAGGTTTTATTAAATGCTATTGGCTAGTAATTATATATATATAGATTTTTTAAAAATCTCAATTAAATACACACTTAAATTTAAAATAGCTATTTTATAAAATCTACAATAATTAATTAAATTTAAATATTTCCCATATTATATACAACACAACAAGTAATTATATTTAAATATTTCCATTGTATATACAAATCACAAACTCCTTTGCATCTCATTGTACAATTCATTCATGTTGTAATAAAATCGTCCCATTAAATGACAAAAAGCAACTTCCGGAGAAAAAACGGCCACCGCCACATAACATAATCCCCCGAAATTTATATATATACTAGCTAAAAGCATTTAATAAAATCTATTTAATTTTATCGATGTGGCAATTTAACCCGTTTTCCTCCAAAAACCATTACTTTTGATGTATTTAATCTTTCATTTAATTATTAAATAATCAACACTAATCACTTCAAAATTACAAAAATCATTTTAAACTTTTGATTATTGACAGTTGACCATATAATGTGTTTACCGTATAATGTGATTAGATGTTATAATTGTGGTTAAATTTAAATTATTATTATTTTTAAAATAAAAAATGTATTTGAAATTCTTAAATAAATAATAAATAATTCACAAAAAAGACGTACCAATATATACATTACATCCAATCAGATAAACATAATATAAAAAAAAAATAGATATTCCAACTCCTTTAATTGTAAATTTGGCCAGCAAAAAGGTGAAAGAAAAATAATTCTCCATTATATGCATACAAATATCTCACAATACTTTATTTACATTTGTGCAAATGCACAGGTCGAATACTAGTTTTCCTTCAAAGTAAGGCGAGGAAGCCATATAAAACAGTCATTTTTTTTTTAATGATAAATATATTAATAACAGAAAACTACAAAATAAAACAATTTTGGTAATATACGAAACTAGAAAACGATATATTTTTTTTTGGTACAGAGACCTTCCGGTTTTCGGATCCACAGGGGAACCGACTAATCCGAAATCGGACCGGGTAGGACCACAAGGGCGGCAAAGCTCTCCCTCAAAATATATATATTTCTGTTTGCTATATGTGATTGTGATATCTATATTTAATTATTTACTAGTACGTCATCGTTGCATTGTGCAGTCCGTTTTTTTTTTTTTTTTT